CAAGTGCAGGAACAGGGATGTCCTGGTGCAATTGGACAGGGGTCTTGGTGGGACCGCACCTGGAGGTCAGCACAACATTGCGGGCCAAAAGGTTTGGGGGTCTCCTTCTCTGAGGAAGGATGGTCTGGCGATGGAGAGGGTGCAGCGCAGGGTTTCCCAGACTGATCCCTGGGGTAGCAGGGCTGACAGAAGGAGAGAGATTGGATCAGTTAGGGTTATATTCTCTGGGGGTTTAGAAGAATGAGGGGGGATCTCATAGAAACCTATAAAATTCTAACAGGGCTCGACAAAACACACAGGAAGGGTGTTCCCGATGGCCGGGGTGGGAGGGGAGACCAGGAGCAGGGGGTCATTCCTGAAGGATACAGGGTAGGCCTTTTAGGACTGAGACGGGGAGAAATGTCTTCATCCAGAGAGCGGGGAATGTGTGCGATTCTCTGCCACAGAAAGTGGTTGGGGCCAAAACATGGAATGTTTTCAAGAAGGAGTTGGATATAGTTTTTGGAGCTAAAGGGATCGAAGGGAGTGGGGGAGAAAAAGCAGGAACGGGGACTGAGTTGGGTGATCAGCCGTGATCCTATTGAATGGAGGGAACAGACTCGAGGGGCTGAATAGCCACCTCCTGCTCCTGTTTTGGTTGTCTGCCGGGCCTGCTTGTGGAGAAAGGGGTGAGGCCAGTTCCCCAGGCGGCCAAGAGAAAGTTTTCAAAAACCTTTTTTTATCAGCTGTGAACTGTACCAGTTAACTTCTGCACATCGTTTACTTTTATTCATTCACGGGATGAGGGTATCGCTGGCCAGGCAGCATTTATTGCTCATCCCTAGTTGCCCAGGGGGCAGTTCAGAGTCAACCACATTGCTGTGGGTCTGGAGTCACATGTAGGCCCAGACCTGCTAAGGATGGCAGTTTCCTTCCCTGAAGGACATTAGTGAACCAGATGGGTTTTTCCCGACGATCGGCAATGGATTCACGGTCATCATTAGGCTCTTAATTCCACTTATTTTTTTATTGAATTCAATCTGCCGTGGCGGGATTCGAACCCGGGTCCCCAGAACATGGGCTGTCTGGGTTACTAGCCTAGCGATAATGCCACGAGGCCACGGTCTATCCCAGCTCCAAAGCGCGTGGATCAACGGCACAGCGGTTATGCTGGAGTCGGGCTATGCCCGCTTCCTGGCTGACAGTCCTCAGCCAGGGTGTTGGTGTAGGGGGAATGGGCGGCTGAGAACTGGTTACTAATTCACCCAATCTCCGTGCTGGCAGAGCCTCCCAAGGTGACAGTGAGCCCCGATCCCCTGGACCTGGTGCCCGGGCGGGAACAGACGGTGACATGCGATGTCAGCTCCTACTACCCGCTGGACGTAACGGTGAGCTGGACGAGGAAGAGGGCCGCTGGGAACAGTAGCTCCGAGCCCATCGCCAACAGCGTGCTGAGCGGTCACAGGCAGAACCCAGATGGCACGTACAATATGAGCAGCTACCTCACCCTGCAACCATCCTGGGAGGACCACCACTCCGTCTACACATGCCACATCAGCCACGTGTCGGTCAAGACCCCTGTCTGCAAGAGTGTCACCTTGAATGTCGCAGGTAAAGAGGGCCATTTGGTGCCAAAACTACTCCCCCATGTCAACCGCCTTTCCCAATCCAAACCAGCCCCATTGGCCTGCATTTATCCCTCTACTCATGTGCCTTTTCTCTTACTCATTCACGGGATGTGGGCGTCGCTGGCTGGGTCAGCCATTTATTGCTCCATCCCTAATTGCCCAAGAGGGCAGTTAAGAGTCAACCACATTGCTGTGGGTCTGGAGTCACGTGTAGGCCCAGACCAGGTAAGGATGGCAGTTTCCTTCCCGAAAGGACATGAGTGAACCAGATGGGTTGTTCCCCAACCATTGACAATGGATTCACGGTCATCATTAGATCCTTAATTCCAGATATTTTTATTGAATTCAAATTCCACCGTCTGCCGTAGCAGGATTCGAACCCAGGTCCCCTGAATGTTACCTGGGTCTCTGGATTAACAGACCAGTGATAAATCCACTAGGACATCACTTTCCCTAATGTCCCCGTGTCTTTTGTAGTCATACAGATCTGCATACAGAAATGTACAGCACAGAAACAGACCCTTCGGTCCAACTCATCCATACCGACCAGATATCCTAAATTAACCCAGTCCCATTTGCCAGCATTTGGCCCCTATCCCCCTAAACCCTTTTTATTCATATACCCATCCAGATGCCTTTTAAATGCTGTAATTGTACCAGCCTCCACCACTTCCTCTGGCAGCTCATTCCATACATGCACCACCCTCTGTGTGAAAAAGTTGCCCCTCAGGTCCCTTTTAAATCTTTCCCCTCTCACCTTAAACCTACGCCCCTCTAATTTTGGACTCCCCTACCCTGGGGAAAAGACTTTGGCTATTTACCCTATCCATGCCCCTCATGGTTTTATAAACCTCTATAAGGTCACCCCTCAGCCTCCGACACTCCGGGGAAAATAGCCCCAGCCTATTCAGCCTCGCCCTGTAGCTCAAACCTCCAACCCCAGCAACATCCTTGTAAATCTTTACTGAACCCTTTCAAGTTTCACATCATCCTTCCTACAGCAGGGAGACTGGAATTACACACAGTATTCCAAAAGTGGCCCTAACCAATGTCCTGTACAGCCCCAACATGACCCTCCCAACTCCTAAACTCAATGTACTCACCAATGAAGGCAAGTGTACCAAACACCTTCTTCACCGCCCTGTCTACCTGTGACTCCACTTTCAAGGAACTATGAACCTGCACCCCAAGGTCTCTTTGTTCAGCAACAGTCTCCAGGACCTTACCATTAAGGTGTATTAGTCCTGCCCTGATTTGCCTTTCCAAAATGCAGTACTTCACATTTATCCAAATTAAACTCCATCTCCTCGGCTGATCTGATAAAGATCCCGTTATACTCAGGTAACTTTCTTCGCTGTCTACTACACCTCCAATTTTGGTGTCATCTGCAAACTTACTAACCATACCTCCTATGTTCACATCCAAATCATTTATATAAATGACGAAAAGCAGCAGACCCTGCACTGATCCTTGTGGCACACCACTGGTCCACAGGCTTCTAATCTGAAAAGCAACCCTCCACCACCACCCTGTCTAACTTTGAGCCAGCTCTGTATCCAAATAGCTAGTGCTCCCTCTATTCCATGTGATCTAACCTTGCTCACGAGTCTGCCATGCGGAACTTTGTCAAATGCCTTACTAAAGTCCATATAGATCACATCTACCTCTCTGCCCTCATTAATCCTCTTCGTTACTTCTTCAAAAACTCCATCAGATTAGTGAGACACGATTTCCCACGCACAAAACCATGTTGACTATCCCTCTCAGTCCTTGCCTTTACAAATACATGTAAATCCTGTCCCTCAGGATTCCCTCCAACAACTCGTCCACCACTGATGTCCAGGCGTACCCAGTTTGTGATCTATTTGTGTGTGTGTGTGTCGATCCCATCTGGCCTTGCCTGGTCGAAGTCCCCGCTCTGAGAGCCTCTCAATTGGGAAACCCCAGCCTCCTGAGCTGATCACCGCCCCCTCCGGTGTGGGTCTCCCACCAGCTTGCCATCTCCTCCTGAAGAGGAACACTGGCCTACCTCTCTGGGGAGGGGTCGTGGTCCTGTTTCACTCGCCCTGCTTCAATTGCCATTGGCTGTGGCTGTACCTGAGCTATGTAACTCCCTCCCAGCTCCAGGCCTCCTTCCCAATTGGGCCCTTGGTCTCACCACTGGGGAAACGTCTGCTGCCTTGGTCCACCTTCTGGAATTCTCTCTTCCTTCACTTCTCTCTCTCCCTCCGTCCGTCCCTCCCTCCCTCTTTTTGAAAGCCACCCACAGTCGCCGTTTTGAGTCTGCGCCAGCCCCTTATCTCACTCACTGTACCCCCATGACAAGGGCCCCCAGGTGCTTCTCTTCCCTCGTGGCGCTATAGAAATGCAACTTGTTGCTGTACGGAGAGAAGGCACCTTCCCATCAGGAGACGGATTGTCTTTTGCGTGCTGCGGATGGGGTGAGGTTGGGGGTGGGGGGTACCGTGATGGAGGTATATTTTTAATTAATGGAAGTGTACAAAGTTCTGAGGGGCACTGATGGCAGGGGTGGTGGGGGTGGGGGAGGTGGGCAGATAGGGGGGTTTGCCCTGACTAGAGGGGTCAGTAACCGGGGGAGCTGGCTGGGGGGAGCGAGAGGTTTAGAGGGGTGGGGAATCTGAAACTGGCCGCGTGTGAGGGTTGGGAGAGGCAGGAACCGTCAGGAAGGGGGTCAGACAAACGTTTGGAACATCAGGAGAACACAAGGCGAAGGGCCAAGGGCCGGGAAACGGGGGCCAGAGCGGGTGGGTGGAACAGCAGGGGCGCGGTGGGGCCGAAGGGCCTGTTCCTGTGTCGTTAAACTCTCCGCGACTTCCTCGCTGCTCACTGGTCCCTTGCTGTTGCACAGAAAAGCTGTGCAACGTCATGGTCAGCGGGTCTGATCTCGGGCCACATTGGGAAAAGGGGAGAATGTGAACGAGGAGCACACTCACTGTGAAATATCTGCACGGTTGGGGGCGGAAGGTGGGTTCTGATGTAACTGATTGGCATTTCCACCAATTTGCTCATCTTCTCCCTGCAGGAGCGTCTGGTCCTTCCATGGATGACGTCATCGGCATGTTTCTGTGCTCGTTTGTTCTGTATGGGACGTTAAAATTCCTCCACTGGATATTCACCGAGAAAGGTAAACGGGCCCAGTGTTAAAAGGATCCATCAGTCAGGAACTCCTTCCTGCCGAGTTCGTAACGACAAACATCTCCATCGTGGGTTAGACCGCAGAGAGAGAGAGGTCCCCTTCACTCCCGACAAACTCCACAATGGGAAAGCACAGAGATAGGAGCAGAATGAGGCCATTCAGCCCCTCGGGTCTCCTGTGCCCTTCGCAGCTGATGTGTTTCCCAGCCCTGTTCTCCTGCCTTCTCCCCATAACCTTTACTAACCAAGACCCTATCTCTCTCCGTCTTAAACACACTCAATAACTTCACCCCCCACTTCTGTGGCAGACTCCCACAGATTCCCCCACCCTCTGGCTGAAGAAATTCCTCCTCATCTCAGTTTGAAAGGGTCGTCCCTTCACTCTGAGGCTGTGCCCTCAGGTCCTGGTCTCTCCTACTCATGGAAACATCTTCTCCACATCCACTCTATCCAGGCCTCTCAGTACTCTGTAAGTTTCAATCAGATCCCCCCACAATCATCCTTCTAAACTCCATCGAGTAGAGACCCAGAGTCCTCAACGACTCCTCGTAAGTGCTTCGTCCCTGGGATCATTCTTGTAAACCTCCTCTGGACCCCCTCCAAAGCCAGCACATCCTTCCTTAGATACGGGGCCCAAAACTGCTCTCAAGCTTCCAAATATGGTGTGGCCCGAGCCTTATATGGCCTCAGCAGTACAGCTCTGCTCTTGTATTCTAGCCCTTTCAAAATGAATTCTAACATTTCTGGAAGCTGGTCCGTAAACCATATATATCTCTGACCCTCCTGTTCTAACATGAATCAGTTTTAATCCAGGTTCTCTGTACACTTTTCAATGGCACGCATTAACAGCAGGATCTGATGACTGTTTCTGAGTGATGGGTGAACGTTGTTGTGTGTTTTTTTTTTGCAGTTTATCCTTTGGTCTTTGGATCAGCAGAAGAAACAGCAAAGGTAAAAACATAGTCAGTGTTTGGCATTGATTGAGGGCAAAGGTGATGGAGCATTAGAGCTGGGAGAAGGAGGGCTATTCCTGCTGGTTATCGGGAGCCATTCCTGCTGGTTATCGGGAGCCATTCCTGCTGGTGGAGGTGGAGCCAATGGGGGTGGATCTGGTGGGGGAGGAGCCACAGTGGTAGTAGGGGGGAAGCCAGGGGTGGAAGGGGGCAATAAATACTGAGCCAGCTAGAGATGCTCTTGTCCCAGGAGCGAGGAAGAAATTGGGGCAAATGTGTATCAC